GAACCCTGGAGGTTGAGGCTGCAGTCAGCTGTGATTGCACCATTGCACTACAGCATGGGTGATAAAGACCCTGTCCCTAAAAAAAAAAAGAGAGAGATTTTTAAAAGAGACTGTAAAAAGTGCTCCAGCAGGCAAAGAAGATCCAACATGTGGAAAACGGGACTCTCTGAGGAAAAAAAGAGAAGAGAACAAACACAAAGGGTCACTATTCCAGATGTCCCTAAGGCGACGTGAAACGACACAGAAAGAGTGCGGCCAGTTGCACCAGACGTCCCTGGGGAGCCTGGGAACAGCACGGAAGGAGCACAGCCAGTCCTGAGAACAGCAGCCCACAGAACCAACCCGGTCCTGACAACACCAGCCCGCAGAACCAACCCGGGACGCACGCCAGTGGGATGACTGGGCCTGCAAGAGAAGGGCACCCAGGGAGGAGAAACGTGGCCTACAAAGGAACTCGAATTAGACTCTTGTCAGATCTGGACAGCAACACTTTATGAAGGAAATAATCCAGGGTAACGTCTTGAAGACACTTCAGGAATACAACGTGAGTCAAGGATTTACCGCTATCACAACGGACCTTCATGTACAAAGGGCACAAAGTCATCAGCAGGTGGGAACTTGGGAGACGCTATTCCCATGAAGTTTTCCAAAAGAATCTAGCAGAGAAGGAGATGTGGAAAAACCAAAACGACTACAGAGACACAACATAGAAACAAGTCACGGCATTAAACATGTCATTATTTATGGCACTAAAACTCAAAGAGGGCCGACAGGAGAGCTTATGGTGTAAAACAGCTGCACGTTTCGACAACATAAATACAACACAAAATAAAAAACAGGGCCAAGGCAGAAAGCGCAGGGCTTCCAACCGTTTCCACCACCGCCGTGGAACAATGGACTGTCCGTATTCTTGTTCTCGGGCTACATGTGAAGTTAGGAGGTATTTTAACTCTATTATCTCCTGTGTCCATGAGAACCAGGATTCTTTTTTTCTCTCCTGTTCTTCTGCCCTCCCCTCCAACTACCCAGGCCCCAAGCCACAGGGGCAGCCAAGAGCCAGAATTCTTATTATAGAAGATAAGGATGCCATTTTGAAGCAGGCAACTCCTATACCTCTGAATTTAAACCACCTGAACTAGAAATCTCCATATAAACCCATGAGACCCTGTTTCTACACACATTCCCTAGCTCTGTCCAATAAAAAGGACTCCCCACCCCAGTGGCAGTGACAGCCGTAGTCCCAGAGAGTGGTTTTCAAACACTGTTTCCCACTAGAAGAAACTAGTTCTTGGAGAAATGACTATTTCCAGGTCTGAAATAGGAAAGCTTAAGGTGCACCTGATGCATGTTAACATCCAGGTGGCAAAGACGCCAGCGCCACGTCCCAGCGTGACTCAGGAATCAAGCTGGAGATGCTTCTACTTGCCAACGATGGCGCAATCTGAGCTGCAACCACGATGAGAAGTGCAAGCCCTGGAGTTTACAATGAGAAAAAATAAAAACAACACACTAAAAAGTAAAACTGCTTGTCACCTTCTGAGGACGACATGCAGCTGATGCATTATCTTCAACTGTGCATATGAAAGGAGACACATAAGCACTTACCCCGCATCCCCTCTGTGAGCTGTACCCACCAAGTGGCCAAACAGCAGTGCGGGCAGAATCTCCAAAAGAACACCCCAACTAGGAAGAGGAAAAGAACTCATGGAGCAAGAACACTGCAGTCGCCAACCTCAAGGGACTGGGGACCCTAGACAGGAAGCATGACCGGCCACCATTCCCGGAGTGCCAGGCCCAGACCTGTGTCCTCCCGGTGAGGGACACACCAGCACCCAGGATCCTGCCGCAGGAATGCAGCCAGAGTCAGAGTCACCTCTGGGTCCAGCCACCAACGTGCAGAAAGTTCAGAAGATGGAGGAACAGGCAGAACTGCACCCCAAGGGTACCACCAGCAACCCTGGCTCAGGACACACCCTAGGCCAAATGACCTGGTCCTTCAACAAACATGTTGTAAGGAAAAGAAAGTGACGGAGGGTTAGGAGGGACCTAGAGCCTTTTTTTTTAATGTTAAGGTTTCCTTTTCAATCAGGTTTCCTGGGAAAAACATGGCAAGTTAACCAGAGTGTCTCGGTCACACAAGCAAGGACTGGCACGCCCTGGCGTTTCTTTCTGGCTTCACCATAAAGTCAGGGCAGCAGTTACTTTTGGAAAGAGGTAAAAGCAGCTGTGATGTGGTGGGCACGTGGAGGGTGGGGGGATCCTCAGGTGAACGTTCTAGCTCTTGAACTGATGATGGGCTACGAGGTCTACGCCTCGTGACAACTCAGTCATAAAAGAAATCCATAAAAAAAAGGCTAATCAATATCATTAACCTCCCCCACAAAATACTAAGAGTCCTTAACTCTAAGTGCTCTTCTCAATATATGTTGTTATTGTTCAGAATTTCAGTTCCTTCTTGGTTTACAACTGTATTTGCAATGTGGGCTGCAGGCCTCACAGCCAGCGGCACTCAGGCAGAGACCCCGGTGAGTGCAGGTTCCTGCTGCAGCCTCCTGTCCCGGGCCAACACTCCCAGCCACACAGCAGCCAGAGCCCATGTTAGCCTTGGGAATCTGTTCTTTCTTTTATTTCTGACCCAAAGAAAGAATCCCCCTAATTTATCTACATCTCACACATGCAATTATAAGGACAAGATGTTTATATTTTCTTCCTACGTTGTATCTGACATTTTAACCTGTACTGTCCCAGGAGTTTTTTCTCTGAACCTCTGGGACGCCATATTGCCAAAATTCCAGTGTCTAACAAACCTGAAGTACCTCCTCTCCACACCAGGCGGCCATTTCTCAGAGGTCACTGCTAGCATCTGGGCAGGCGAGCCCCAGCACTGACGCCTGGGACATCCCACCCACATGCTTCCCAACAGCCCTGGTAGGGAGGCGGAGCTGTGCCCTGATCAGGTCACCACCCTGATCCTGTCCCAGGGTGCACCTGCATACCGAAAGGGACTGTCCAATGTGCAGCAGACAGCAGCTGCCACGGGGCTGGGAGCAAAACAGAGGAGCCAGGGGTCAGGCAGAGTACAGGGGAAGACCAGAAGCGTGAGTGTCCAGCCTGCCCGAGCAGCAAGACCTTTCCTTGTAAGTCAGGATCACGCCCTGGAGTAAGACCTACCTTAGCAAAGCCCAAAGCCAAATCCAGACAGGAAAGATAGGGTTTGCAAACTGAGTCCCACTAAGTTAAAGGGACTTGAGAAACATCTTGGGCTTTCCCTAGATCCTCACTGACAAAATGAAAAAGCCACACCAACTCGAGATGGTCAGCCAGTAACTCAACTGCCCGCAACAATTAACACTCTTAAAAGGAAACCACAGAATCCAGTCTCTCGCAGGCAATCATGAGCCGTGCAGGGAGACAAGTGTGACCCAAGGCCAAGGAGAGCCGCACCCAAGAGAAACTGAACGTGAGATGGCCCAGGTGCTGAACTTGACAAAAACGTTATAAAACAACTTTAATAAATACACTCAAAGTAGAGGAAATATAGTCACAATAAGAGAGCAGAGAGGGAATTTCAGCCAATACTTATAAACTATAAAAAAGAACTAAACAGAAATATTAGAATTGCAAAATACATTAGCAAATGGAAACTTCAAATGGAGATGGCAGAAATCCATCTACCAAGGACCCTGTAGACAGATGAGCAGAAATCATCCAGTCTGGAAAACAGAGAGAAAAAAGACCCAAGTCCAGGAACACAGGCTCAAAGAGCTGCAGGGCGGCATCAATAGGCCTAACATACACATCACTGGAGCCCCCAGAGAAGAAAGTAAGACTGAAATGGAAAAAAAATTGAAGAAATACTAGCCGAAATGCTCCCAATTTGATGAAAGACATGGACCTACAGATCTATGAAGCTCAGAAAACCTGAAGCAGACTGAATATCCAGAGAACCACACCAAAACACATCACGGACGAACCTCTAAAAAACAAAGATTAAATGTCTCAAAACAAAGATTAAAAGTCATGCCAGAGACATGAAGCACATTATGTACAGGGAAAAAAGTTAAAAATTACAGCAGGACCAGCCCATGCCACATGGTGAGACCCTGTCTCTAAAAAAAAATAAAAATAAAAAATTAGCCAGGCATGGTAGCATGCACCTGTAGTCCCAGCTACTTGAGAAGCTGAGGTAGGAGGATCACCTGAGCCTGGGGAGGTGGAGGCTACAGTGAGCCATGATCATACCACTGCACTCTAGCCTGGGTGACACAGTGAGACCCTGTGTCTAAGAAAATTAAAAATTATAGCAGAATGTCAGAAGACAGTGGAACAAGGTCTTGAAAGTTTCGCAAGAAAAAAACAATTAGCCCAGAATTTTGTAACCAGTGAAAATATCCTTTGAAAATGAAGGTGAAATACAATGATTTTCAAGTAAACAAAACCAGAGAATCCATCACCAGCAGACCCGCACCACAAGAAACACCACAGCTCTCCTTCAAGTCAAAAGGAAATGACCCACTGTTGAAAGCAAAAATAACATGTTAAGGCTGGGTTTATAACTATTAGAGTAAAAGATTACCACGTACAAGAAAGTAGCAGAATTTGGACAAACAGCAGCGAGCAGCAATTCCATGCCTTCATTCCATCAACTGTCCATTCTCCTACAGGGGCTTATCCCACAGACACTCTGCAGCAAGAAGTTACTACCATTCAGATCATTCTTCTCACAGTTATAATTTCCCCACATCCTTTTCAAATCCCGCCTAAACCTCATCATGGTAATCAAACGTCCTCATGAAAAAGACTTTCAGCTCATGTGATACTCACAAGTAAGTTGATTTGGATTTAAAATGTCAAATGTAAAACAAATATTCCAGAACAGGCAAGACAGCATGTAAATGGTGAGAAAGCAAAGGCCCCTATGTGTGTCTGTTCCCCAGAAGAGGGAGGCACTAAGATGCTCCAAGGTTCCCCCAGACCTGGATCCCGCAATGCTGCGATACCTCTGCTCCCGAACCCGGTCCCGGACAGTCCACTTTCCTCTTTTTCCTGGGCCCGATCGCTGCTAGTGCCGTGAGGTTGGCGTCGCGCTGTCTCATCTGTGCCAGTTCCTGTTGCTGCATCTTGTATTTTGAAAAGGAAACAAACACCATCATTTATTTCATGGCTTTTACTTACTACGAAGTAATGCATAGATATGAAATGGTTTTCTATAATTTTCTAAATCTTAACTTCTTTCGTGTTGTGACTTTTTAAATAGTAAGCATATTCTATCACAGAAAAAATGAAACATTTTAAAAAGCAACATATATTCATCTTAAAACTCTCAGAAAATATAAGCAAGTCAAAAGCACAGAGACTAATTCCCCCCAAAGGGAAGTCACCATTGAATTTAAAGTAGTACACCAACTGTTTGCACAGGAAAATACCTTTGACATGGTGTTTACTTAAATTTTGCAAACATTTTAAATAGACATACAAATGCCCGTCGCACAGAGGTGCCACGGTTTCCTTAGCCCCCCTCCCGTGGGCGTTCAGAGTGTGCAGTGCGGCTCCACGACTAGCAGGACTCACCTCCTTTGCCTTCTGTTTCAGCCTTAACTGTTCTGGATCTTCTTGTCTTGACCGAGACTATTTTTGAAAGAGGTAGAAAAGTAAGTCATGAACTAAATATTTATCATTTAACAAATGTGTTAACTTATTGACTATACAGTAACATCTAGGCAATGCGAAAGAACGCATAATAAATTTGTTAAATGCTTACAGCCAAAGACAAAAATTTACATCACACACCACAAAAAAAGCCAGTACTCTTGAGAAAAATCAGTAACACTTGATTTTTTTACGAAGGCACAGTCATCTACCAGTCACAGGCTCTGACTTCAGAGCCTGATGTGACTGGACGACAGCGGGCAGGACGGGCCTCAGGCTCCAACTCAGGTGTGGTCCTGCCCCACACACCAGGGACAGGACAGCCTGTGGCTGTGATCGAAACATGTGCCCCTCCCACTCCACAGTGTCTCCTGTCTGACTCTATTACACAGAGGCATCTCGCCTGGCTGTGAACATTCTAGAACAAGAGCAGTGTGAGTGTGAAGAGTCCAATCCAGCACATGCAGGGGGCTCTGGAAACAAGCGCCTCACACCTGGGTGTGACCGCGTGGCGCGTGGGGTGCTGGGAATCTGGAGAAGCCCCACTTCCCGAGCATCTATGCTCATCCTGAACGAACGAGGCTTCTCTCTGCATCCCCACTGACAGCATCCGGAACATGCTGACCCCCGAAACCCCAGTGTCTTGGTGAGCTCGTTAGCTTGTGCCCGAGATGGAGGGGCCCAGGCGGCAGCAGCAGACAGCCAGCACTTGCCTTTGCTGCCCTCATCAGGATCTCCCGCTCCTGCTCGTCCTTCCTCTGCTTTTCGATTTGATCAAGCTGTTCAAAAAACTTGAGCTGTGCCCGGACATCACTCGCCTGCTCATATCTGTCGTCATCCTATGAAGAAAGTTAAAATACTGCTTGTCATCAATCTGAGAAGCCAGCAACCAAGGAGGTTGTCTAGCACCACTGGACCATATTCACACAACGCCCTCCCTCCATCCAGCCGACTATAGCGAGGACCCAACCCCTCCCGCCTCACAGATGCTGCACCCGAGGGCTCTGGGCGGTGCTCATGTTAGCTGCCTCAGGCGGCTTGTGGGCAAGTGTCCCTTTCATACACTTTGACATTGGCTAATTTTTTGAAGTAATATTTACCTTTTTTGCAGCAGCATAGAACCACTTTTAGAGCAAGGGCTAAGTGTGTTTACTTTCTGTGCTGCCCTGAAGGCGCTGCCTCCTGGCTGCAGGAGCAGGCAACACCTCGCCCAGTTTGCCCTTGGAAGAGCGTTCTTGTGACTACTGGCGAGGAAGGCACGTTTTACGTGGAAAAGGTGCTTCATGAGGAGAGGGCTGTGGCACCTCAGGGACTGCCAGTTCAGCCCATAGCCCAGGGAGAGAGGCAGGCACCCACAGAGCGAACAGGTACACCTTCCGAAAGGTGAAACCCACCAGGCATGGTGGCTCATGGCTGTAATCCCAGCACTTTAGAAGGCCAAGGTAGGAGGATCACTTGAGGCAAGCAGTTCAGGACCAGCCTGGGCTACATATCGAGTCCCTGTCTCGTCTGTTAAAAATACAAAACTTGGTTGGGTGTGGTGGTGTGTGCCTGTAGTCCCAGATACTTGGGAGGCTAAGGCACAAGAATCACTTGAACCCAGGAGGTAGAGGTTGTGGTGAGACGAGATTGCACCACTGCACACCAGTCTGGGGGCAGAGTAAGACCCTGTCTCAAAAAAAAAAAGAAAGAAAGAAAAAAGAAAAAAAAATTAGGCAGGCGTGGCTCATGCCTGTGGTCCCAGCTACTCCAGAGGCTGAGGCAGGAGGACTGCTTGAGGCCGAGAGGTTGAGGCTGCAGTGAGCTTTGATTCCAACACTGCACCACTCCAGCCTGGGCACAGAGTGACCCTATCTCTCAAAAAAAAAAAAGGTAAGCCCCTCCAGAGCACCCTCTTCTCTTGCAGGTTCCCTCCCTCCTTCCCTCACCCGGGTTCATGGAGCACCAGCACCACGTGGCTACAAGAACTGAAGTCTTCCCAAAATCTAGTCCTATAAGAAATTCAAAATGTGCTCAAAAGGAACGAGGGCACTTGGGACCCAGTGCCCTGAGGAGGGGGCTTCCAGACAGCAGAGTGGGAGCCAACAACAGAACAATGCTCTCCTCAGCAAACAGCCCATTACCTTGTAAGAGAAGTTCTTCTGCTGAGCCGTTTCTGATATTTTCTCTACAAGATTCTGTAGCCTTTGTTGCGTGGCATGTGATACATAACTTACTACATCTGGATGTAATTCAGTGATACCGTGTTTTTTACCTAAAGATCAGGCAATAAAACAGTATTTTAAGATCAGTAAGCACAGTTATTTCTTTACACCCATTCTCTTATTCCGCGGTTACTGCTTTTATACAACCCAAGGGTAGCCCAGATAGGCTGGTGGGGTGGAAGACAGTGGTACCCACATCTACCCAAGCACCACCACCAGCAACCATGTGGAAATCACAAACGCAGACAAAACACATGACGAGGTAACAGGTGTGCTCACCGGAAGCCCCGTGCCCTGGCAGCGCAGCTGTTTCATAAGGACTGTTATTAAGCACCGACATACCTATTTCTAATATTCTTCTCTGCAAAGGCGCTGAGAGGAGGAAGGTTTCGTCTTTACAGGACCGTGTCAGCGTGCCCACCAGTTCAGAGTTGGTGGCTAATATTCTTGCACTTTCTTCTGACAGGTTTACTCCTGCCATCGATGCAACATCATTAATGTCATCATCATCCCTTGAGGAAAGAAGGAAAGATCATTATAACTGTACAAGGAACTCAACAGGAGGAGGGCTGAGATGGTCCTGACTTGGAGGCGACGCTGTAAGGGCAGGAGACCCCGTGTGGATGGCAGGGCAGAGCCAAGACCAGGCCTCTGTCCTCCGAGTGCCTGCACCTGCTGTGTCTGCAACAGCGAAGAGGGTGCCTTGCTGCTTTCCTGGAAAGCTTGACTGTTCTGTGCAAGGAGAGCAGCGAGTTGACGCCGGATAACATCTACACACAGTCAAAGCCAGAGCTAGCATTAAATTCTTTTTAAAGACTCAGAAAAGTTCAAGAAGAGTATGCAGATCTCTTTCCTGATTTACCTGAAAGTTGCTAACCTGACTTTCCTCCACCTGGAACATTCTGCAGGTGTTTCCTACAGACAAGGGCATTCCCTCTGGAAGCAGGGTGCCACTGAGACAGGGCCATGATGAATGGCCCCTCCCCAGGTCCTCCCACAGGGGCCCTGGTCCCAGCAGCGCCTCTCCCCACAGGAGAGTCTACGTCCCAACCCCGGCTGCCTGCAGCTGCCATGTCCTTGTGGACCAAAGATGTGGGCTAAGAGGTCTGCTGGGAATTCCACACACACGTGGCCTCCACCTGCTGCCTCCAGCACTGGACTCTGAACACGACGCCAGGGGCCTGCCTGGCATCTCCTGGTGTTGCTGTGTCTCGGCGAGGAGCTCTGCATCAGTCCTCATGCCTACTCCTCATGCCCAGTCCTCCTATGGGCTCCACATGCTAACTCAGGGTCTGGCCATGGCCTGGCATCCCTGGCAGTCTCGGCTGCAACTGGGCTGCACAGCTTAGGGCTCTGGCTGAGGGTCCCGGCCATGGGAGGGAGGACACTCTGCTGACGTCCACGTCCACGTCACGCCTATGTCCACTGCTCTCTGACACAAGACGGTCTCCACTCATCTTGTATTTCCTTATCACTGCCCTGAAATCAGCCTTTTCTTTCAGGAGGCTTGTCAGTTTAGAGGAAAACGGTTTTTAGAAGATGACTTTTGAGCACTAGGTGTGCTCAGTGCTATTAGGGCGTTACTGCTCCAGGGTCCTGCAGTGGACAAAGCTAGAAACTTATGGCAAGATCCATCATTATCCACGCCTGCCGACACAGGCTGAAATCCAGGCGTCTGCGTCAGCATTCCAATCCTGAGCCACCCCACAGGACTTGCTCTCCTTTATCCCTTCTGCCAGGTCACTGACTCCTTGACAGCAAACACCAAGGCTTCCAGCAGCCTTGATTAATTCTTTGACCTGTGTATGTCCCTAAGTGCCTCCCTTCTCACTGCAGTACTAGCCTCACGCCAGCCTGGGCATGCTGGCCACCTCTCGCTGCCTGAGCTTGGACTCTGGCTCAGGCCACAGTCACTCCCCAGGCCTGCTCTGCCTGCCTGATGCTTTTAGGGATGAAGTGTCTGGGAAAGAGAAAACTCACAAGAGTTCCTGAAACACACACACTCCCCGGCTGCTTGATCACAACAGAGACCATCCCGAGCCTCTCCCATTGCTCAGGTCCCGTAAATATCTCCCTGACTGACGGTGATGCTCAGACCGGCTGCTTTCCAGAAGGCCCGGGCAAAGCACAGCATTTCTTTTTATTTTCTTAGAAACAGGGTGTCACTGTCACCGAGGCTGCCGTACAGTGGTAAAATCATAGCTCACTGTAACACTGAACTCCTGGGCAGAAGTGATCCTCCCACCTCAGCCTCCCAAGTGCACACCAAGTCTGGCTAATTTTTTATTTTGTTTGTTGAATAGGGTTTCACTCTGTTGCCCAAGCTGGTCTCAAACTCCCGGGCTCAAGCGATCCTCCCACCTCAGCCTCCTGCAGTGCTGGGACCACAGGCGTGAGCCACTGCACCTGGCAGTACAGCATTCTGAAGGTTCTGAAGCTGAATGTGTGGAAAGTGAAGCATTCATTCTATGTGATGAAAACAATGAACTCAAAATACTATGTTATATTTAAAAATGAATTTTCTTTTAGTTCACATAAAAAACTCAGTTGATTTGCTTTCTGGCTGTGTATGAAGCAAAACCTTTGAGCCGACTCCACAGGAAAACACACTTGTGAGACGTGAGGTCACAGTGAGCGTGGAGCTCCCGGCTGCCAGAGCCATGTGGGAAAGACCCACGCACGGGAACGGAGCAGCACGGACTCTGGATTCTTCTCCATTCTGGCCACGCTCCTCCAGTGTACACAGGCCCATTCCTTACCGAAACGAACCTCCCCCAGGCTCCTTGAGTTTATTTTTCTGTGCAGCAGCTGCTTGTGCCGAGACAGCAGAAAGGGCTTTGGCTCCAGGTAACACGGCGGGTTTCACCACAGGGACTACAAAACAAACACACAGTGGAAACCACACGAGGCTTTCATTAGACAAACCATGTGCCTTACAGGCCTAAGGGCACAGCTACCACTCTCCTAATTAGCCACAATCGTTTCCAAAAACTTCACGTTAGTAACTCTAAATTACAGTACAAAGTATAAGCTGTCTCTCTCCAGCATTTATTCTCCTGTATTTCATCAGTTTTTAAAGTGCAGGAATAATTACGAATGAAGAAGCTCACTGTGGTAAACGTGTAAATAACATTTAAAATCACACTGACAGTGGGGATGGTTACACGACATGGCAAATAAAATTAATGCCACTGATCCAGACACTTAAAACAGCCAATTTTATGATATGTACATTTTACCACAATTAAAATAAAATAAATATAAGCGCAGTAACAGCTGGCTCTGGGGGCCACCCTTGGTCATGAGAGGCCCTCACCTGGCTGCAGCGGGCTCAGCTGGACCGGCTGAGGTGTAGTGAGCATGATCCGGTTGTGAGGCTGCCGCAGCGCGACCATGGGTGTCTGCGTCAAAGTCACCTGCGGGGGCCGGATCAAGGCTCCTGGCTTCGGAGGCTGCTGGATCACCTGAGGCAGAGCCAGCAGAGAACAGTGAGCATGCCCCAAGAGGTGGGGCCTACCCGGTCCCTAGCAGAAGGTTCCTCCCTTCCCTTCCTCTCCACCCTACACCCCCCAGCATGGTCTCGGCCAGATTAGGGCAGGACGTGGGCAAGGGGTGCCTGTGTGGGCATAGCAGAGCGAAGCAGGAGGAGCAGATCTGCTGCCTAGAAGCTGCCCCTGGGCTCTGGTCAGGTCCTGGAGGTGCCAGGCGACAAAGTGATGCCTGCTGAGCTCAGCAACCCAGGATGGAGTAGAGCACTGCCTCCCAAATATTAGCAGAAGTGACATTGTTGCCTGGTGGCTACAGGTCAAGTGGTTTTACCCATCTGAAATTTGTTTCTTTTTTTTTTTTTTTGAGACAGGATCTCCCTGTCTCCAGGCTGGAGTGCAGTGGCATGATCTCAGCTCACTGCAACCTCTGCCCCTTGGGCTCAAGCAATCCACCTCAGCTTCCTGAGCAGCTGGGACTGTAGGTGCCCATCACCACTGTCTGGCTAATTTTTGTATTCTTTGTAGAGATGGCGTTTTGCTATGTTGGCCAGGCTTGAACTCCTGGGCTCAAGTGATCCTCCCACCTTGACTTCCCAAAGTGCTGAATTACAGGCATGAGCCACCAAACGCAGCTCTCTTTCTGAATTTTCTATAAGGAAGCTGATGACTTTTCTACTGGAGTGGGGTTACAGTTCCTAAGTCCTGCCTGAACTTGGCCCTCAAGGGTCTGTCTCTACCCACTGCCTCCAGTATGGCCAGCTCTGTCTGCCCAGCTGCTGGGCCCCTCATGGCAGGGCCTGCCCACGTCTGCTGCCGTCCTATCTCTCATTCCTACCTCCAGCACAGGGCAGAGGTCCAAAACCCAGCAGCACTGACCACGGCCTGTGCTCTGGCCCGTCTCCAGGATGCTGGAACCCAGAGACACTTGTGTCCCTGTCAAAAGCCAATGCTCAAGCCCACAAGGCCTGGCCCCAAACCTCTGGGCCCAGATGTTTCTGAATTTAGTTTCATCTTTTGCAACGGTGCCCTGGCAGGTAAACTCGATGCTGCAGAATACGTGTGGGGGCCTGGGGAAGCAGCCTACAATGCAACCATGTCTTCAACAAAACCCAAACACCCACACTGGACAGGAAGAGCCTCAGGCAGTCAGGACAGCCCTGCGCATAGGAAGCCTGCCATCAAATGCTCAGGACAGGCTGTGTGAATAGGAAGCCTGCCATCAAATGCTCAGGACAGACTGTGTGAATAGGGAGCCTGCCATCAAATGCTCAGGACAGGCTGTGTGAATAGGGAACCTACCATCAAATGCTCAGGACAGGCCCTGCGGCATAGGGAGCCTGCCGTCAAATGCTCAGGACAGACTGTGTGAATAGGGAGCCTGCCATCAAATGCTCAGGACAGGCTGTGTGAATAGGGAACCTACCATCAAATGCTCAGGACAGGCCCTGCGGCATAGGGAGCCTGCCGTCAAATGCTCAGGACAGGCCCTGCGGCATAGGGAGCCTGCCATCAAATGCTCAGGACAGGCTCTGCACTTAGGGAGCCTGTCATCAAATGCTCAGGACAGGCCCTGCCGCATAGGGAGCCTGCTGTCAAATGCTCAGGACAGGCTCGGCACTTAGGGAGCCTGCCATTAAATGCTCAGGACAGGCTCTGCAAATCAGGGAGAAGCCCGGGTTTCACCTCCACAGGCTTCAGGGCACAGGCAATGGATGGGATGTCCCAGATCCCACTGGCTGCACTCTGCAGACTCTGCCCACACAGTCAGGTAGAGCCCAGGGAAGCAGAATGCAGAGGTGATCCTGCTGCTGAACACAACATCTTCTTCTAGAAACACCCGTGCTGCTCGTGTGTGACTACACTCCAGAGGTCAAAACCTGGCAAGAAAATGTCCACAGACTGCCCCTGCTTCAACAGAACCCACCTGTTGGGTAAACTAGCCCCAGTGATGCATGAATAGGGAAGTTCTGTCCTCACACTATACTAAAGCAAGGGCATGGAAATCTCTTCCCCTCTGCAGTCAAAAGCAAGGCAAGGAAGCCTTGTCTCTGTGCAGGACCTCAGCCCTTGCCGGTGTCCATGCTTCTCTGGCCTTTGTAAGGGAAACTCTCCCTCCATGCCATCTCAACCCTGTTCTCCTCGCTAATAATCGAGATAAAACAAATGCAATTTCAACGGAGCACAGGAACCAGCTCCCTACTGGACACTCCTCACCCGGCTGGTTCTGACATGTGCACCATCATGACACATACCTATTCATGATGGGGGAGCCTGCACTGTTTTATTTTCTTAAGCTATCTTAACAGGAAAAAAGCCTCTCTGACACCTTTTTGAAACTGTGCTTCTACGTGTGGTGAATCCCTTTGCCCGTGAATGTGCTTAAAACATAACTCCTCTGGCGAAGACATCCATCCTCTATCTGCAGGGCAAACATCATGACTACAAAACCAAGAAAGCCAGATCCAAACTGCACGTAAAAGACCCGCTGTTACCAGCTACAGCTTCACCTCCCAGGACTCACCTAAAGCACCCTGCACTGTGAGCTGCTGCCTGTCTCCAGTCTCCGCCCACCTGTCCTGCACAGGTGCCTGTCTTACGCTGGGACCGCTGCTCCTAATCCAAGAGAACATCTATCCACAAAATCCTCGGAAAACACGCTGCATTCATTTACACCAGTCACTAGACAAGGCAAGGCAGGGACATGCCAGTGGCTCAAAGCCAACTCAAGTATTTCATTTTACTGAGAAATAAAATACAAAATCCCAGAGCCTCAACCTCTGATTTCCATTTTAACTATTTAAGGTAATACCCAAGCTTCCTCTAGCAGGAGCCTTCCTGCATGCCTGGAAAAGGTTTCTGAGCCGCGGCCGATTTATCTAAGAGGCTGGAGGGAGCAGAGGCATGGCGGGCTGTGCAGACGAGGCAGTGCGCCTTCCATACCAGCGGCGTGGGTTGCCCCTGCTTGCCGACGCCGACCTGCGTGGGCTGCGTGAGGCTGAGCACAGGGGGCTGGAGGGCACTGGTCACAGTGGCCGCCGTCTTCCCGGCTGTGCGCTGGACCGAGCCACTCAGCACCACAGCCGTGAGTGCAGTCGTGGCCTGTGAGGCGGGTGGCGGCTGCTGCTGGCTCTGCTGGATGAAGGCCGCGGAGTCGGGGGTCAGCTGTCTCAAGGCAGGTAAGCTCCTCTGGATGGAAAGACAGACACAAAGGGTCAGGGGGCTGTTCATGCGTCGGTTTTCCATGCTTAAAGATTCAGAAATATCAACTTTTACGGAAAGTTTTTGAGCTGAATAAGATGGATCTTGGCCCTCACAGTGGCGCATGGATGTCAGGGGCCAGGTCCCCATCCTGCCCTCCCACTAGGCGGGACTATTCCTGATAGCAACTGTCCAAAATGTGTTTAAGAAAACAAACAAAAAGAGCCATATCGTTAAAATACTTTTTAAAATATTTTAACTTCGCTGGAAGAGAAGATTCTAAATGTTCCCAACACATGGAAATGTGTGCTCACGGTGGCAGACCCCGAGTGCCCTCATTCTATGAGTGTAATAAGACATCATGTGCACCTCATAAATATGTACCAATATGTACTGAGTTTTTATATGTCCTGATACCAGTGATTACCCAAGAGAGACAGCCTGACGCTCTTGAAACCCTTGGTCCTATCCAGTTTTGCAAACACTACCCCATTCCCTGTCCACCTCACTTTCAGGAAACACACATCCCTCTCAGCCCCTCGCACACGACAGGACAGAACGGCAAGGCCACAGTGTGGGGAGCTCCTGCTTTACAGAAAAAAAAACTGACAGTCTGTCCCCAGGAGTGTGTCCCACCTCCCCAGCCCTGCCCTGTAGGCAGCACAGGCAATGCTTGCCCTGTGCATCTGCACCCACCCCTCCCTGGCCCTGCTGCTCATAGGCACCGGAGCCTTTGAAATTACCTTCAGGAAAGGCACAAGGTAAGGTTGAGGTGAAGAATTAAGTTCTCGGTATAACCTGCTTGTGAAATCTTCTGCTTCGATTTTTCCATCCTTAAAAATAAAATCCATGTGGAAATTCTGCTGAATGAGATTCCACACACACTTCTGAATCCCGCATCACTCTGGTCTCATATTTTATGGCTGATTCTGGCCCGAGCTTCACTGGACAGAGCAGACAGGAAAGTCTGCGTGCTACACCTTCCACAGGTATACGTGTGACAGGCGCTTGCCCTGGACACCACGGCACAGCCAGCTGCGAACCACATCTCCTCCTGGGAGGGTCATCTGTCTACTTCTCATCTTTTCCTAAGTCCCTTAATACCGGTTTTTACTCAACGTTTACCAGGCACCAACTCGGTGTCAGGCACATTGCTAGGCGGCAGCTCGGCCTAAGAGTAACTCCATGATCAAAGTCAGTACTGCGAGCTGCGGGTCACAGTGTGTCAGGGGCCTCGCAGACAGGATCCAGCCAGTCAGGGCATCGGCGCCTTCAGGAGGAGACAACATCTGCACTCACCCTTGCAAGTGGCCAGGGTGCCCAGAGCCCACAGTCAGATACAAGGGAGCCCAGAGCAAGAGGGGCAGACCCTGTTCCAGAAACAGAGGGCAGTGTGGCATAAAGGTCAGGAAGACAGGTGACAAGGGTGGGAAGGCAGTGCCTGGACTGAATCCTGAGAGACTCAGGAGATGTGGTCAGGTGGGCAAGCAGAAGGCACGGAAAGGCCGGTCACTCCAGATCTCCAGGCCACCCTGCTAAGGCTGACATACCCCCGGGCCATGAGACGGCCATGGGGTTGAGGAAGGTGGATGGCCAAGAACTCAGCCATGGGTAGAGATATGGAGCTTGGGACTGTGGGTTAAGGAGAGGGGAGGCTGCCAGGAATCCTCCCACCTTTTGGCCAGGGGACACAGTGCTGTTCATTGCAACAGAGGTTTCAGGGGTAGGGGCGGGAGGGTGCAGCTCTGCCGCTGGAGCACAAATGTGCCACAGCTGGTCTCAGGGGACGGAACACCTGTTCTAGCTGGGACCGCCGACACCGAGGAATTTTACAAGAGGTCACACAGGAGCAGGAAGAGGGCCAGAAGGGAGTTGCCAGGGACCCTGACCAGAGTGTAGCACGTTAGGAGCAGCCAGAGGAGAAGAGAGTCACAGACAAGGGACACAGGCACGGGAAAAGGGCAAAGCCCAAGAGACCTCCAGGCACCAGCCCAGAACACCCAGACCCAGGAGGGAGTCTCAGCCACAGACACCTCTGACAGGTGTGCACCCTCCCCTCTACCTGCAGCCTTCCCAGGCACTCTCCCTGCTGGCACGGGCCTCCCAGCACAGATCGCAGCAGCATCTGTCCTATGCAAAGGGCTTTAGGGCAAACGGAACATAAAGTCTCTCACCAGTAAATTCTGCACGAGCTCTTTCACATTAGCTGCTGTCTCTGTGGACTGCTTGCCAGACGAAGCCAGTTTTATTAACGTAGATAGAAAATTTTTACATTTCTTCACGTTTTCCATGGTTTCCTGGATTAAAGTAAAAAGACATAAGTGAAAAATCTTATGTGTAAAAGATACATGTATTTATTCTCTAAACTTCTTTCAAGAAAACACACCACCTCTTGGCCTGCAGAAGGGCGTGGAACCCAGGGCCATGCTCTGAGGGGTGGCCCAGCCACATTAGTCACAAGCCACCGAAGTCTGCATCTCCCTCAGCCCCACGGGCTGAATCTAGGAATGCAGCTATGCAAATAATCAGAACCAGGAAGAGATAAGATGCCCATCACAAGGACAAACTGATGGGATTTAAATGGACACAGAGGGAACCAAAGAGGAGGGGGCCACTAAAGAGATGTACAGTCCACCGCAAAGAAACACAGCAAAGTCTGTCCTAAAGTGGGGCCCGTTGTTTACAGCTGTCCGTCAATACAGGTAAACACATCAGTGTCAACTCAAACGGGCAAGAGCTGTTTCACGGACTGAATGCGACAGTCCACCAGCGACTTCTTCGAAGGCGGCTGTTTGGGCTTTTGCTATTTGTAGAGTTCTGTGTTCTGAGGCCCCCAGGGCCCACCTCACGCAGCAGAGCAGCCAAGCCCCATGCGCTCATGTGGGCCCCAGACTGTAAAGACCCTTCGTGAATCAGGCAGCCAGTGTTCTGGGACAGAAGCTGGCCTGAGGCTTCAACGCTGCATTTTGCAACCTGCATGACGAGTCTGACCATCTCTGAAGGCACAGAAAGGAGCAGCTCTTACTGTGGCAGCTGAGGAAGTGGTAGTCGCCCCTGGAACTGTGCGCTGAGGAGTCCCTGTCTGAACAGCCGTCGCCGTCCCGAGTGAAGCCGTCTGGGCAGCACCACCCAGAACGAGCTGAGGCTACAAGAATCCAAAACACAAGGTAAGTGCATCTCATGCCACAAGCCAGCAAGGGGAAGCCAGCCTCATGCCCAGGAAAAGAAAATAAGCCTCCCTGTGGCTGCCAGGACACTCAGGCAGCCAAGGGCCCCGACCACCTGCCAGCCAGCTGGACGCAGTAGTGGCCTGCACCCTGCCAACTGCAGCCCTGAGCACCTGAGGAAGGCCTGATTTGCACCTGCATCAAAAGCGGACTTCCACGAAGCCAGGCACTGCAGAGACCCTGGTCCTCAGAATGCCGTCGAAAAAGTCACATGGTGACCAGGGTAAACAAACCTAACAGGCAACCCAGATCCCCATCTCTCAGAAATCAAAACAACAAACAGAGAAAACTCCATCATCCCAGGGCAGAGGCTGGCAAGAGGGCGCTCAGGGCTGCACAGCCGCAGCCTCCCACAGGGGAGGGTCCCCAGCTCCCTGCAATCGCCCAAACCCACCTTTCTTTATTCCCCAAGTGAGTCTCAACAAGAAGCCTCCCATGAAAGGGAGTTTTCAGAGCAGATTTGAGCAATGGAGGATGGGTCCTCAGTGTCAGTCAAACTGTCAGAAGGGAGGGGCTGCTTTGCTAAACAAATGAACAGCCAGACACCAAAAGGGAGCTCAGACAACTCACTGGCCCATAGTCAAATTCCTAACATTTCCATTCTATGTGAATAATCAAAATGCAAATGTTTACTGACATTTTAAACTAGTATTTTTCTAATTTATAAATCTCACCATCAACATTTTCTCTCTCCAATTTTTTAAACACTCCTTTGCAACTTCTGAAAGCAGGGGGCAGTGGAAGCCCTGAGAACGGCTCCGGAGCAGCAAGCGCCGCTCCCTCCCAGCAGCAGAGAAGCTGCTCTGAACCAGCCCTGCTTCCAGCGGGGTGCAGAGGGGCTGTGAGGAGGCAGCGGGCAGAGGGGCTGTTTCTCAGTCTGTGTATCCTTTCCCTTGTAACAATAAGCATTGATTTTTTTTTAACTGAAAAACATCAAATAAAAACCTCCAGTGAAGAAAACATAAAAGAACAATCAAGCGGCTGCTTCCAGGCCCCAGGAGTACCCAGAACCCATCTCACTTTTGAGAGGTTTTTTTTTCTCATCGAACTGACTACTCACACTTATCTCTGCTCCTAGGAACACACATTTCATTCAGATGATATCAGATTGTGTCTGCCACTAAGTTTAATGCAAAAACTTAACCATAAGCTGCACTACCATCTCAGAAAAGTCACTGTAACCAAAAATCCAGGCGCCAATCAGAGCACAGGGCTGAGCAAGCTCTTCCGGGAGAATACCGAGGGTGGGGCCCGCACCAAAGGCCAGCACGTGTCTCCCTGGCACCAAACCACTCTTCCACCCACTTTCAGCCACTGCACCCGCAAACAGCCAGCCAGGACATGACTCAGAACGGGTGGAAGAGCCAGGGGGCTGGATCTACCCCCAGAGTCCACACCCCCTGGGCCTCAGCCTCCATTTCACCATTGAGAAATGGGAGCAGGGCCTGCAGCACTTCTTGCAGAGGCAAGTTCTTGCAGAGGCAAGAACTCTGGATCTGTGGGCAGCACATCCAGCCCCAGTGCCCAGCTCACGGCAGGTGCTTTATTGGCAGCGACCTACACCATAAAGACCTATGCGTCCATGGACGCTTACAGACACCAGGAGCAAAGAAAACCCCCTGAGTCACTGTTCTCCCAGCTGCTTCTCCGACTGCTCAGAGAAGGCTGCTGCCCTCAGCCGGTGCATCTAACCAGCCAGCCAATTCCCCTCCACGCACTTCCGCCGCCCTCTCCAGAACAGCCTGGCCCACACACCAACCCACTGGGCTCTGCAGGCCAAAGGGAGCATCAGCACCACCATGAGAGGGGCCAGCACCTGCTCTGGAGCGTGCTCCCCTTCGCAGATGAAAACGCTGTTCTAGAAACCAGCCGCCACCAGGGCGGATGCAGAACCCTTCTAGAACTATGCTCTCACTACAAACAAGGGATGTCAGTGGCTGGGTGGCAGCATGGCCAGGTGGGTCCCAGAAACTCCGTCACCTCAGCATACACACTGCACTGCAGCTTAAAAAAGCAATGGCATCTACTTCCCAGGGTGTTGTGAAAATTACAGTCACGGTGTCTGCAATAGTGAGAATGACATCTCGGCCACATCCGCCTCAGCAACAGCTGCCGTCCTCACGGTTACACACAAGACCACACGTGCAAACACATACACACTGTCCTCACCGCAGACTGCTCCTGCTTCAGACATGCCTTACGATCAAGTATTAATAAGGAGTTAGTTTTAATACTTCCAGCATGGTGGAAAGCTTCAACAGTGCTGCTGGTATTAAATTCAGTGTGACTAAAAAAAAAAGAACCCTGACTTATCCCATGTTGGCGTTCAGAGAAAAAGCACTTTCTTCATGGAGCACCTTCCTCCCCAAATTTGACTTAGTATCCAGCAAAAAAAAAAAAAAGAAAAACTCATAAGGCCGGATCTTTGCATCAAAGAAACCGCACTTGGAGGCTGCTGCAGCCTCAGTAGATCCACCACCCACTCCTCTCACCTGGACGCCGGGCGAGCGCTGTAGGGTTGCGCTGGGCTGCACCGTGGTCTGGGCCTGAGACACTTGCTTAATTATGGTAGTTGGGGTCACCTGCCGGGCAATGATAGGTGTCCCAGGTGCCTGAAAAATAAATAAGAGTCACCCAAAACAAGCACAAGTGAAAGGAATTCCCCCACCATGATACACAAAATGATTCCTTCCATACAGAACTGGTACATCCCAGTGGGTCCATAGGCTCATCCATGACACGAAATGAAGCCACTGCCATTCTAAAGTCTTCTCACCAAAGAAACAGTGTAAGACGAGTATTTTCCTACACTACAATAGACACACCATTAGGCTTCTTAACGAAGTCTACAAGAGGTCATCTCTCAAGAATGCAGGTATCTGGAAATCAGTCCTTGCACTGCTGTCTTACGATCTTATTAACAATCACTAAAAAGAAGGCAAAGGCAGACGGCCAGTCAGTGCTGCAGAGGGGAAGAGAGGTGGCCACCGGGGACAGCAGAACACAATTCTGAGCCCATGAAGTTGGTGGGAGAGAGACTGACACGGAAAGAGTGGATGGCAGACTGCAAAGCGATGCCCACAGTGCAAGTAAAGCCACGAGTGTCTTCTACTGCGTCCCACTCAGCAGACAGGCGCTGCAGACTTGAGGACACCGTTCTGTTCTACTTCAGATGGGGATGGTCTCTGGCAGCCTCCAGCATGTCCGTCCGCGTCCCTATCTATGGGACAGAGGCACGACTCCAGAGGGTATGCAGGTCACACGGTGGGCAGGAGGAGAATGTTGGTCAAGTCATTCTAGTCTTCACAAACCTGCCAGGCCATTCAGAGCAGCAGGGTCACAGCGCCAGGGAACATGGCAGGAGACAGAGCAGGAACACACAGCGTGCAGGCACGTGCAGGTGACAGCCATGGGGCTAGACACAGACACGCCAGGAGAGGCAAGTCCTGGGCATTCTGCTCTCCACGTCAGAATCCAGGCTCCCTCCCACAGCTCAGGAGTCAGGAGCTTCGGCCCTGAAGGCTTGCAGTTTTGTGTGTGTGGCCCTCATGCGCCCCTGACAACAGCAACCACCCCCACGCGCATGCAGCCACTCCAGGACTCTTGGCACCGTAAGTGCCTCCACGTGGCGCTGGCGGCAGTCCTGCCAGTGGAGTCCTAGCACAGTCTCTACTTTGCAGATGAAGGGACAGGCATAGGAAGGTGAAGCCACGGGAAGAGAAGGGAAGGGACCGGGGCGGCCAACCCTGGACCGTTCACTTTGACCACACTCGGCCGGCCCTGCAGTGGACTACAGGAGCCGGTGTCTCTGAGCTGGACACAGCCCTGCCAGCAAGAGGAGGACAGGAGGACAGCGCAGTCACAAGCCCACCCCGGACAGGAACGGACACCCCCCACACTTCCCAGTCCTCGCTCCCACCCCCGGCTATGCCTGAGCCTTGCAGGCTTCCCCAGCATGCGTGGGGAGAGGGGTTGGGCAGGGAAGGGGTTCGTGCTCCAGGGCACACGCACACTCACCTGTACGGTGGAGATCTGGACAGGAGGGGCACTTGTGGGGGTGGCAGGGCGGGGTGCCATGGTGGTCTGAGGCTGGGCATGGGCTTGCGCCTGCATCTGGGCCAGGGCCTGCTGAGGAATCATTAAGAGCTGCCCATTCTCACTTCGGACGAGAACCATTCCTGCAGACAAAGGAGACTGGCGTCAGGGACGCACCCACCCAGAGCCACGAGGTGGTCCTGGCCCTACCCAGGAGAAGCCGGGGCTGTAAGAAAGTAACATAGGAAGTCAAGTCTTAAACACACAAATCCCCCAAATTCAAAACATGCTTGTGAATCAACAAGTTATACAAGACAAAGAAACAGTCAAGGTAGTTAGAAAGCCATTAAACCAATGGCACCCGAGCCTTCGTTTTATAAACGAGCCAGCGAGCAAGACAATGTAGTGATGGCTTCCAACGGCCACACCATGGGCCCTCACACTCCCAACCGGCCACACAGCCCACAGACATGCCAGTCTCTTGCCCCCCACCTCCTACCCGTGCCATGGCCACGTCTGCTGGGCTGGGCCTAGAGGACACAACCCTGTCTACAGACCACACTCCAGGAGTCCCCTAGCCTGCTGTGCTGTGACACCCAAACCCAACAGAGAGAGGGTGGGCCACGAAGCTCTTTACCAGAACCCTCCTCTCAGGAGGCGGGGCAGTGCTGTCCCCACACTGCCCTGACACCCACAACATAGGCACCGGGATGCAATGCACCCCGGGAACGATTTGCCCTTTGTGGTCCTCGAGCGAAATCACAGGACAGCAAATCCTACCAGTTAGGTTTGGCATTCATTTTACCTTCAAAAAACAGCAACCAGTTAGTTATATTATAAATTCCACAGAAACAGTAACACAACTGTCCAACTTTTAAATTTAACTTCCCATGACAGAGGTGGGGATGCAGCCGCCGCAGCAGGCTATAAACATCACGCTCTTTCCCAAGAGAAGCCTCCGCAGATGGCCCAGCACCACACAGCCCGGCTGAGAAATGAAACACACGCAAGAAGGCACTGCCAGCGGCTTTCCCACCCACCCATTGCACACTGGCCAAGCCGCAGGACTCAGGGACCGGCCAGTGCGTTTCACAGTCTCTCCTTCCTCCCCTTTACAGAGAATGGAAAATAATAGCCTCAAAAAAGTTTAAGTAAGGCCTGAAAACCTCCTGTTGGTCATCATGACAAATGAGCATGGGGCTTCTTCCTCATGGGCTCAGAAGCTGGGGCACTCTCGGAAGTTTTAGGAGTCTGAAGCTGCTGGGCTCTAGCTCTTTTGAAACTCAGCTTGGTACCAAGAAGAATGCTGATGCCTCTCCCTGGGATAACATCTAAAATTCTTTTTTTTTTTTTTAAGGAGAGAAGGAAAGAAAAAAAAAGGAGTGAAGGAGAGAAAGAAAGAGGAAGAAAAAGAGGGAGAATGGGAATGTTGCTTTATTCTAAAAATGGGTATTAATAATGGCCGATCAATATTTCATTTAAACCTTTGAGTAGGTGCGATGTGGTATTGACAAGAACGTATATTTTGTGTATTTAAAGTGGAAAGCTCTATAAATATTTATTAAGTTTACTGGTTCTGGATCGAGTTCAAGTCCTGGATATCCTTATTACTTTTCTGTCTCGTTGAGTCTAAATCTTTTTATAGGTCTTATGTATCTGGGTGTTAGGATCGTTAGCTCTTATTGTTGCATTGATCCTTTTACCACTATATCTTTGTTGCTTTAAAATCTATTTTATCAGATGCGAGAATTGTAACTCCTGCTTTTTATTTATTTATTTTTGCTCTCCATTTAGTTGGTTAATCTTTCTCCATCCCTTTGTTTTGAGTCTTTGTGTATCTTTGCATGTGAAATGAGTCTGGATGTAGCATACTGTTGGGTTTTGGCTGTATCTTTTGATTGGGGGATTTAGTCAATTTAAATTTAGGGTTACTGCCATTGATGTTAACTGGCTGTTGTATCCACTTGTTGAGGTAAATTCTTCTTTATGCTGATGCTCTTTACTTTTTGGTATATTTTTAGAAAGGCTAATACTGGTTGTTCCTTTCTATGTGTAATGCTTCTTTCAGAAGCGCTTGTAAAGCAGGCCAGGTGGTAATAAAATCTCTAAGTACTTGCTTGTTCATAAAAGATTTTATTTTTCCTTCAGTTGTGAAGCTTAGTTTGGCTGGATATGAAATTCTGGGTTGAAAGTTCTGTTCTTTAGGATGTTGAATATTGGCCCCCACTCTCTTCTGGCTTGTAGGGTTCCTGCTGAGAGATCTGCTGTAAGTCTGATAGGTTTCCCCCCTTTGTGGGTAACCTGACCTTTCTCTCTGGCTGCCCTTAGTATTTTCTCCTTCGTTTCAACCCTGGTGAATCTAACAATTATGTGCCTTGGGGTTGCTCTTCTTGAGGAATATCTTTGTGGTGTTCTCTGTATTACCGGGGGTTAAATATTGTCCTGCTTTGCTAGGTTGGGAAAGTTTTCCTGAATAATATCCTGAAGAGTATTTTCCAGCTTGGATTCATTCTCTCCGTCGCATTCAGGTACACCTATCAAATGTAAATTAGGTCTTTTCACATAGTCCCATAGTTCTTGGAGACTTTGCTCATTCCTTTTTATCCTTTTTTCCCTATTCTTGTCTTCTTGTTTTATTTCATTAAGTTGATCTTCGACCTCTGATATCCTTTCTTCTGCTTGATCAATTCTAGTGTTAAAACCTGTGCATACTTCTCGGCGTTCCCATATTGTATTCTTCAGTTCCATTAATTCACTTATATTCCTCTCTAAATTGTCTATTCTCATTAGGATTTCATCAAACCTTTTTTCAAAGTTCTTAGTTTCTTTACATTGGGCTACAACATGTTCTTTTAACTCACAGAAGTTTCTTATTATCCACCTTCTGAAGCCTGATTCTGTTAATGGAATGCACTCGTTCTCCATCAAGCCTTGTTTCCTTGTTGATGAGGAACTGTGATCCTCTGTAGAGGGAGAGGCATTCTGATTTTGAGTATTCTCAGCCTTTTTACGCTGGTTTCTTCCCATTGTTGTAGGTTTATCCACCTGTCGTCTTTGTAATTACCAACTTTCAAATTAGGTCTCTGGGTGGACATCCAACTTGTTAATTCCCAGGGCCGAAATCTGAGCAACCCACTGCGCCAGCCAAAACAGCAGCGTTAAGACTGATGGTGCTTTTCTGCCTGGGAATCTCCGGTCTGGCTTCCTTCTTGAGTCCGTAATAGGCGACTCTGCCTTCCCGGAGCTCCAAACGTCGGTCAGAAGGGGAACCAGTCCCGTTTACTCTGCACCAAGAGCTGCTGCACCGAGGCACTGGCAAAACTGCTGTGCCGGCCACAAAAGTCACACTGGCGACCCACAGGGCTCCTCCACTGGGAATCTTCCGGCCCGTGAGCGACAAAAATTCGTCTGAAAGTGTGGCGTCCTCTCGTTCTCTGCGCTTTCACTGAGAGCTACAATCCCGAGATGTTAGCGATCAGCCATCTTGGATCGTTCTTTCCACGATTGTTCTAAAATTCTTAATCCAAAAACCACATTTATGTCCATTAAGAAAGTTTTCCCCCCAAAACATCCCTTTCAAAATAAACCATGCTGAAATCAAACAAAAGCAAACATCCAGCTGCAGCAAATAACCTGCTAGACTCTCCAAGCACAGAGCTCACCAACAAAGCAAGAGCAAAGGCCTCCAAGGCTCCCTCTCCAAGTCTGTGCCCACAGCGCCCAGAACAGCCTTCGAGTCAGGAGGACACTCGTCAGCCACGTGGCCACCAGAGCTGCTGTGAGCCACGAGGGAGAGTTCCACTCTCACCCAAGCACTCACAGGCCTGGGACCCCAAAACAAGACACTTGGTCAACACCCCATGTCTGTCATGGGTATTATGGAGTGTCGACCTGATGGGATTGAAGGAAGCAAAGTACTGTTCCTGGGTGTGTCTGTGAGGGTGTTGCCAAAGCAGAGTCACATCTGAGTCAGTGGGCTGGGAGAGGCGGACCCACCGTCAATCTGTATGGGTACCATCTCATCCGCTGCCAGTGTGGCCAGTATAAAAGCAGGCAGAGGAACGTGGAAGGACTGGACCTGCTGAGTCCCGGCCTCCATCTCTCTCCCAAACTGGATGCTTCCTGCCCTGGAACATCAGATTCCGAGTTCTTCGGCTTTGAGAACTCTTGACCTTACACCAGGGGTTTGCCAGGGGCTCTCGGGCCTTTGGCCACAGACTGAAGACTGCACTGTCTGCTTCCCTACTGCTGAGATATGGGGACTTGGACTGGCTTCCTGGCTCCTCAGGTTGCACACCGCCTACTGTGGGACTTCACCTTGTGATCATGGAAGTCAATTCTAACAAACTCCAAACTCCCTGTCGTATATTCATCTCTCCTTTAGTTCTGTTCCTTTAGAGAACCCTGACTCATACAATGTCCTCAAATCCAACACTTCATTCACTGCATTCAGACACCTGCTCCTCCTCCTCAAGAATTCTGAGAAGCCAGGGTGGGCGTGGTGGCTCACGCCCAAAATCCAGCACTTTAGGCGGCCAAGGTAGAGGGATCACTTGAGGCCAGGAGTTCGAGACCAGACCAGGCAATGTAGTGAGCCCCCATCTCTACAAATAACATATATTTTTTCGAGACGGCATCTCCCTCTGTCGCCCAGGCTGGAGTGCAATGATGCAATCTTGGTTTACTGCAACCTCTGCCTCCTGGGTTCAAGTGATCCTCCTGCCTCAGCCTCCCAAGTAGCTGGATTACAGGAACATACTGCCACACCTGGCTAAATATTTGTACTTTTCTTAGTAGAGATGGGGTTTCACCATGTTCCCCAGGCTGGTCCTGAACTCCTAAGCTCAGGCAATCCACCCACCTTGGCTCCCAAAGTGCTAGGATTACAGGCATGAGCCACTGCACCTGGGCCAAAAAATATTTTTTAAAAAATTAGCCAGGCATGGTGGCACAACTATAGTTCCAGCTATTCGGGAAGCTAGGGCAGGAGGATCATCTGAGCCCAGGAGTTGGAAGCTGCAGTGAGCTATGACCGCATCACTGCACTCCAGCCCAGGCCACAGGGTGAGACCCCATCTCCTAAAAAAAAAAAAAAAAACCTCTCACAGGAAGTGACCATGTGACTTCAGGCAGGTGTAACGTA